CAGCCATGGCTACTTAGTGAAACCTTGCCTATAAACAACAAAAACGAAAGAGAAAAAAGTGTATTGGAAGCAGCTAACTACTGTGGCTCAAGCATATATTTCTAACACTTTAGAGGCTGATGCAGGAGTGTTGTCCCCGAGGCCCGCCTGGGCTACAGAATGCATGTGAATACACTTATGTATGTATCTAAGTCCATTGTATGTGCGTCGTCTGTGTGTCTGTGCAGGCACATGTGCATGCTGGATTGTGTTGAGGTCAGAGGACAGCTCAGGTGTGAGTCCTCACCTTCTTCCTTGTTTAAGACAGGGGCTCTTGTTCACTGCTACACTTGCCGGTTTCATTATCGTCTCTTCACCTCCCGTCTGCTGGGCCTGTGTGTCACTGCATTCTGGGGACCTGAACTCCAGTCCTCATGCTTAAGCAGCAAGCCCTTCACCCCCTGAGCTCTCTCCCTGTCCTTGAAGAGCATTTTAGGGGACATTAAAAGGGTGTGTGAATTCCTACCACAGAGCTCCTTTTCCTTCCTTCATGGAGCTGGGTACTTTGGTTGCCTGTGTAACCCAGGTTGGCCAGAGTTTGATCTTCCTCCCTAATGCTCGACCCCAGTCAAGCTGGGCTGTTACTCAGCTCTTGAGTGATGTGCCATCTGGTTAAAAGTCTTTTTAAAAAATATTAACTTTATTTTATGTGCATTGACATGAAGATATCAGATCTCCTGGAACTGGAGTTACAGACAGTTGTGAGCTGCCATGTGGGTGCTGGGAATTGAACCCAGGTCCTCTGGAAGAGCAGTGTGGACTCTTAACTGCTGAGCCATCTCTCCAGTCCCAAACACTGGCCTTTTTGGCCCCTCCAGAATAACATTAAGAAGAAACTGCATGGTCAGGAATGGAAGTGTCTGCACTCTGGTGGTCACCTGGAACCACCTTGGTCACCAGCATTCTCTGTCCACCCTCTCAGCCACTTTCATGGGCAGCTCCCTACTTGGGCTCAGTCCCACCTGTGACTGGTGTTCTACCTGAAACCTCCGGACTGAACCTTACTCATCTCTCCAGGTCCTCCTCAAATGTCCCCTCTTCTGGCTGCTTCAACACAGACCCGATGGATTCTAGGTAGCCTCTCGGACTCAGGTGTGACTGATTCCTCATCTCCCCTCACCAGGTCAGGAGTTCCCAGGACACAGTGTGATAAGCACTGGAGTGTCTGCTTCGGGACTGCTAGGTATCTTTTTTGAACCTGGCCCATAGATTGTCAGGAGACTGTGAAGCCAGGCAGTGGTGGTGCATACCTTTAATCCCTGTACTCGGGAGGCAGAGGCAGATGGATCTCTGAGTTCAAGACCAGACTGACTGGTCTATACATCAGGTTCCAGGACAGCCAAGGCTGCACAGAGGATCCCACTCTCGAAAAACAAAAGAAAAAATGATGAAGATCAGATGGCATTTGAGACAGCACGGGTTACATGGGATCACACTTGGCCCAGAGCCCTCCACCTTTCCAGGGGGTGGGGCAGACTTCTGTCCTGCCCAAGGTCCTTCACTTTTTTTTTTTTTTTAAAGATTTTTTCTTTTTTCTTTTTCTTTTTCTTTTCTTTTATTTATTTATTTATTTTGGTTTTTTGAGACAAGGTTTCTCTGGTGCCTGTCTGGAACTTGCTCTTGTAGACCAGTAGACCAGGCTGGCCTCGAACTCACAGAGATCTGTCTGCCTCCCAAAAGTTTTATTTATTTTTATTATGTGTGCATGGGTGTTTTACGTGTGTGTGTGTGTGTGTGTGTGTGTGTGCGCGCGCGTTTGCCCTTTGAAGAGCATGGACACCTGTTGCTGGGATTCTAAGTCACTGAGCTGTGAGTGCCAAGGTGCTCTACCCACTGAGTCATCTCTCTAGCCTCTTTTCACTTTTAGTTTTAATTTTATTCTTTTAGGGGGTGTTTTTTCAAGACAGGGTTTCTCTGTGTAATAGCCCCGGTAGACCAGGCTAGCCTCAAACTCTGCCTCCCAAGTGTTGGGATTAAAGGCATGCACCATTACAGCCCAGCTCATTTTATTATTTTCAGATAGGGTATCACTAAGTTGCCCATGCTGGTTTTGAACTGTAGATCCTCCTGCCTTAACTTCCCCCCAAAATGGGAGGAGACTGGGTATGTGCCTCAGTGGAGTACTTCCCTAGCATGCAAGAAGTCTGGGGTTCCATCCATCTCCAGCACTTCATAAACTGAACATGGATGGAATCTGGGGACCGAGCCTTGGCCTGAAAGCAGGAGCATCAGAAGCGTGAGGGATCCTTGGATGCAGAGCTGATTGAAGCCTATCTTGGGCTACCCAAGGCCCTGTTAAAACACTAACCAAAACCTGGATGACAGGCCTGTACCAGTGCAGCAGACAGTGCCGTCTTGGTGCCTTACTGAGCCCTTAATGTAGCAGGAAAGAGGCTGGCCTTGCTCTGTTTCTGAAATAGAAAGACGCGTTCAGATCTTACTTTATCCTACCTCTGTGTATGTGCTTGTGCAGCGTGTGCGTGCACGCACAGGTGTTTCCTCAGCTGCTCTCCACCTTAGAGATGGAAATGGTCTCCCTGAACCTGGAGCTTGGCAGCTCAGCCAGCCTGTCTGGCCAGCACATCCCTGGAATCTGGCCTCCACCATGCCAGCATTGGAGATGCACGTATGTTTCCATATCCAGCGCTGTAGGTGCTAGACTCCTAACCTCAAGGTCTCGTGTTTACCCATGGAACCATCGCCTACTCCCAAAGTTAATTTTAGCAATGTTTCTATAACCCAGCATATTGGCAGTGCTGCCCTTGGAGTCAGTATCTTAATATTCCTTCTCTGTTTCTCCAGTGTGGTGATGGAGCTCTGTGGGTCGGGTGTGCCCGCCAGACAAACTTGCCCACACTACCCTTCGGGGGTTGGTTGGTTTTTTGTTTTGTTTATCCTTTGAAAGGTGTCTCACTAGCTATATAGTCCAGGATGACCTCATACTCAAGATCCAGCTGCCTCCATCTCCCAGAGCTGGGATCACAGGTCACTCCTGTGATGACCACACCACATCATCCCAGCCCTGTGGGAAACTGCCTGTTTCAGTTTGAAGCAGCCTCAGCTTGGATGCTCAGGACACCTGTCTGCCACTGCCACACAGGCTGCAACTCTGTGATCAGGATGCTAATCACAGTGACTTCCTAGAGGAGGCACTGTTTGAACTGGGGCTTGTAGGAACTGCTTGGGAATTAAGAGCAGAGGTGAGGGGGGGTTGTGGAGGAATATGGATCGATGCTCCTCTTCCCTCATACATTCACTTCCTGCACCCTGTAACTGACTGGCTGTTAGTAGAATGCTGCTGCATGCCAGGCGTAGGCTGCATCCCCTGCAGCTACTTAGGATAGGAAGTGGGAGCTGACCTGAGCCCATGTGGGTGATGTCTGCTGTGTACGATAGAATACAAAGGTCTGGAATTTTTTTTTCTTTGTTGTTGTTTTGGTTTTTTTTGTTTTTGTTTGTTTGTTTGTTTGTTTGTTTTGAGACAGGGTTTCTTTTTGTATCCTGGCTGTCCTGAAACTCTCTCTGTAGACCAGACTGGCCTCCAACTCACAAGAGATCCGCCTGCCTCTGCCTCCTGAGTGCTGGGATTAAAATTGTGTGCTACCACTGCCCAGCCAAGGATTTTTTTTCTTTAAAGATTGAATTTCTGTGGCTGAGTGTTTTGTCTGCATGTATTTCTTGTGTACCATGTTTGTGCCTGATATCTGAGGAGGTCAGAAGAGGCCCTCAGATCACCTGGGACTGGAATTAGATTTGTGAGCTACCATGTGGGTGCTGGGAATGGAATCTGGGTCCTCTGCAAGAGCAGCCAGTGCTCTTAACCCCAGGCCCAGGGTTTTCAATCCTAGAACAGCAAGAACTGGGAGTGTGCCATAGGCTTGTCGTTCCAACACTCGGAAGGCTAAGGCAGGAAGATCCTAAGTACAAAGCCAGCTAGGTCTATATAATGAGGTTCTCGGGATGTAATAATAGGACTGGAGAGATGGCCCAGTGGTTCAGAGCAATTTTTGCTTTTCAAGAATGCCTGGGTTTGAGTAACTCCAGTAACATAACTCCAGTTCTAGGAGATTCAATGTCCTCTTCTCCATTTGCCCAAACATGCTGGTGGTATACACATACAGGCAAAATACTCTTACACAAGAAAGATATAATTATAAAAATGAACTTCTTATACAGAAGGGAGTGGAAAGTGTCTCTCAGAGGAAGTTGCAGGCACTGAGACCAAAGTAGTAGAACACTGGCGGTGGCTGGAGGCAGAGGCAGTGTATACAGTGTATATATAGTGTATATAGCCCAGAATATGGGGTAGGAGGGAGGGGGGAGGCAGAGGCAGTGTATATAGTGTATACAGTGTATATAGTGTATATAGCCCAGAGTATGGGGCGGGCGGGAGGGAGGCAGAGAAGGCTCCAGAGAAACCTGAGCTATTGCAGACAGTGTGTGCACTGTGAGGTGGTGATGGTGTGTCACAGTTCAGGGACAGGCTCTGGAGGTCCCCACTTTAGAATGGGGCTCTGTTAGAGGACATCTGGAGCTGTGCCCAGAAGACAGGCAGCACACAGAACAGGGTGCGTGGGACGTCAGACAGCCCCGGCCACAGGGAATCTGTCATAGCAGAGGTTTAGGGGTTAGGAGAGCTAGGACACAAGGAAGAGAGTGGTGCTGCTGAGGGAGGGGACAGGAGCCAGTGTAGCTTTTCAGTCATTCATTGGTCACAGCTCTATCGTGGGGCGCTCAGGGACAGGACAGGAGAGATGGGCCTTTGGGCTCCAGTGGCAGGATATAAACCCTGTAGTTCATGGGCCACCAGGAGGGCAGAAAGCTTAGAACTTTGCACTGGGTGCCGATGAGCAAGCTCCCAGTGAGGTGTGGGTAATGGGCATTTTCAGCCCAGACCCTGCAGGGGAGGAGACGGCAGCTGCCCGTCTTGCAGCCTCATGTGCCGCGCCCTCTCTCCACAGGCAAGAGCAAAGAGGCCGAGATCAAGAGGATCAACAAGGAACTGGCCAACATCCGCTCCAAGTTCAAAGGCAGGCTGTGACCCAAAGCCCTGGGGGAGGGAACCAGTGTTCCGGAGTCTTCCTCACAGGGCTCCTTTTCCCTCCTCTGCCTCAGGAGACAAGGCCTTAGATGGCTACAGTAAGAAGAAGTATGTGTGCAAGCTGCTCTTCATCTTCCTGCTTGGCCATGACATTGACTTTGGACACATGGAGGCTGTGAACCTGCTAAGCTCCAACAAGTACACAGAAAAGCAGATAGTGAGTGCTGGGGTGGAGGGAGGGAACCAGGGTGGGTGCTGGGGTCTGGACTCCTGGGTTTGAGGGAAGGAGGCCTAGGGCCTACACTGTTGCATGTTAGAGTTAGTCTAGTGCCTTTTAGCCACAGGCTCTCAGCTGTCCCCTCTCTATCCCCTAGGGGTACCTGTTCATCTCAGTCCTGGTGAACTCGAACTCAGAGCTGATCCGGCTCATCAACAACGCCATCAAGAATGACCTGGCCAGCCGCAACCCCACCTTCATGTGCCTGGCCTTGCACTGTATCGCCAATGTGGGCAGCCGTGAGATGGGCGAGGCCTTTGCCGCTGACATTCCCCGAATCCTGGTGGCTGGGTGAGGAACTGGGGACCACAGCAAAAGGGCCAGCTTTGTTTGTGGCACCTCCTAAATTCTCCTACCTGGGCTTTAGACCACAGTGGCTCTGTCTCTCTCACATCACCAGGCTGCCTGGGTGTTAGTGTCTCCTCCCATGAAGTGGTAGTTTCATTCCCCCATCTCATTCATGAGACAGCATCTGCCCTGTGCCCGCAACGCTGACGGGTGACAGTGGTGCCACCACCAGAGGTGGACAGTCTCAGTGTTCCAGTCAGACTAGCTGCGCCAGCTGTGGCATGAGCCCTGACAGCTGCAGGGAGCTTCTTGGCCTCCTTTCCTGAGCAGTCCACATGGGTGTGTGACCTGGCTCTGACTTCCGAGGCAGCAGTGCGAGTAGACCTGTGTTCCCAAGTGCCAGAGCCCCTGTGGGGCTGGAGCTCTGCTGGGAGCATGTTTGCCTGACCCACACCAGACCTGGGACCCGTGGAAGTTCAAAGTCATCTTCTGACACTTAGGTAGTTCAAAGCCAGCCTGGGCTATGTGAGACTCTGTTTCAAGACTAATTCATTTTCTCTCTTTTTCTCTTTTGATTTTTGGTTTTTTTGAGATCGTTTCTCTGTGTGGCAGCCCTGATTGTCCTGGAACTCTTCTTTGTAGACCACGCTGGCCTTGAACTCAGAGAGATCCAACTCCTTCTGTCTCCTGAGTGCTGGGATTAAAGGCGTGAGCCACTACCTGCCCTGCAGCCAGTGCTGTAGCCCAAGACAATATTTTACTTGTTTGTGTTTTCCTAGTAAAAGAAAAAATACACAGGGTAGTGAGCATACCAGAGGGTGGGTGGAAAGTGGCTTTACCTGGGTCTTTCTTTTTTTTCTTTTCTTTTCTTTGTTTTTTTAAGTATGTTTATTTTTATTTTATTACTGTTGGTTGGTGTATTGCCTACATGTGTGGGGGGGAGAATGTGTGTGTGAGGGGGGTGTCGGGTCTCCTGGAACTGGAGTTACGGACAGCTGTGAGCTGCCTTGTGGGTGCTTGGAGTTGAACCCGGGTTCTCTGAAGAGCAGTCAGTGTTATTATTTTAAATCATGTGTATTTGTGTCTGTCTGTGGCTGGGTGTGTGCACGTGAGTGTAGTGTTGCTAGAGGCCAGAGGCATGGGGTCCTCTGGAGGTGGAGTCACAGGAGGGTGAGAGCCACTTGATGTGGGGACTGGGAACGGAAGAGCAGCAAGTGCTTCCGTTAACAAGTTGGGCTCTCCAGGAGTGATGCACTAGGACAGTCAGGAGCCAGTGATCACTGGAGGGAGTCTCTGGATGGGATGCAGTGAGCATGAGAGAGACTTTGGGGAGTCTACCTCTGCTTCCCATGGAAGTGGGGGTGACTGGTATGTGTCAGGCAGGTGAACAACGGGAGCAATGTTGTCTTTGAGAAAAATCACTGTGGCTGCTGTATCTAGAGGTGAGATCTCTATTTCTGGCAATATAGACAAGTGCCCCTGGTGTTCTTGACAAGTGTGGCTGATCTAGGTGGAGTGGACCTTGTAGGAGGCAGAAGGACTGTAAGGCTCTCTCAAAAACAAAAAGGCTGGATGGTGGTGGTGCACGCTTTTAATCCCAGCACTCAGAAGAGACAGGCAGGCAGATCTCTGATTTCGAGGCCAGCCTGATATACAGAGCGATTTCCAGGACAGGCTCTAAAGCTACACAGAGAAACTTTGTTTCAAAAAACAAACAAACAAAACCCAAAACAAGAAAAAGACTTTAGTTTGGATGAGGGAGCAAGAGCATGTTGGTTAATGGCGTCTTGAACTGGTCAGTTAATGAGGCTCACACAGGCCCACACAGGCCAGCCAGGAGCAGCCAACCCTGACAAGCCTGGGCTCAGGCCGGGATCTGGGGGAGCTATGCAGCCTCTGGGAGCAGAGAAAAGCTTGTCTTAGTAGAAGCTGTGGGAAGCCACACATCAAAGTGTGGGTGACCTAGAAATAAACACCCCTGGGAACTGTGTGCAGAATTACCTGTCTCCATCCTTGGCATGCAGCAGTCAAGGCTGGCTGCCAGCCTGGTTTTTTGTTTGTTTGTTTGTTTGTTTGTTTGAAACAGGACTTCATGTAGCCCAGGTTGGTCTTGAACTGATCCTCCAGCTCCCACCTCCTTAATGCTGAGATTGCAGGTATGACCGCTGCTTGGTTCACCTGTGAGATGATGCAGGCCTGGCAAGACTGAACACTGTCTCAGAGGGCCACTCCAAGACTTCTCACTGCTATTCTGTGTGTGTGAGTGTTCTGCCTGTATGTGTGTATCCCATGTGTGCGCAGTGCCCAAGGAGGGAGGCTGTGAATAAGGGAGAGAAGTAGCCTGAAGGGGGTCCTGAGGGTTCCGGTGTGCTCTGTCCAGGCAGGGTCAGTATTTGGTCTGGTATAAGTCGGAAAAGGATGAAAGTCCTGTCCGGGTGCAGACCTGCTGTCCAGCATTGGAAAACTGAGGCAGGAGGATTAAGAATTCAAGGCCATAGCTGGGCAGTGGTGGCGCATTTAGCACTCAGGAGGCAAAGCCAGGTGATCTCTGTGAGTTTGAGGCCAGCCTGGTCTACAAAGCAACTCTGTCGGGGGCTGGAGAGATGGCTCAGAGGTTAAGAACATTGCCTGCCCTTCCAAGGTCCTGAGTTCAATTCCCAGCAACCTCATGGTGGCTCACAACCATCTGTAATGAGGTCTGCTGCCCTCTTCTGGCCTTCAGGCATACACGCAGACAGAATATTGTATACATAATAAATATTTTTTAAAAAAGCAATCCTGTCTTGGCAGAAGTGTTGGGGGCAATTCAAAGCCAGCTTGAGCAGCGTAGCCAGATCCTATCTGTCTCCTAATTGATTAGTAAATAATTTTAACCTCACTGGTTGGTGGTTGCGCACACCTTTAATCCTAGCACCAAGGAGGCAGAGACATGTGGATCTCTGTGAGCTGGAGACCAGCCTGGTCTACAGAGTGAGTTCCAGGATAGCCAGGACTATACAAAGAAATCCTGTCTTTAAAAACCAAAAAAAGGGGCTGGAGAGATGGCTCAGTGGTTAAGAGCATTGCCTGCTCTTTCAAAGGTCCTGAGTTCAATTCCCAGCAACCACATGGTGGCTCACAACCATCTGTAATGAGGTCTGGTGCCCTCTTCTGGCCTGCAGGCATACACACAGACAGAATATTGTATACATAATAAATAAATATTAAAAAAACAAAAAACAAAAAAAGGACAGCCTGGTCTACAAACTGATTTCCAGTACAGCCGGAACTATTACATAGAGAAGTCCTGTCTCGAAAAATAAAAATAAATAAAAAATAAACATAAAAAAATTTAACCTCAAAAAAAGTTGAGACAGGCTCTCCCTAGGGAACCCAGGATAATCGCTTATTTGCTTTTGGCTTGATTTGCTTGTTTTTTGAAATGGTCCAGTGTAGTCCGGGCTGGCCTTGAACTCACTGTGTGGCTGAGTGTGACCTTAAACTAGTCTTCCTGCTCTTAGCCTCTAGAGTACTGGGGTGATAGTGTGCTGCAGTGGCCAGCTAATTCAGTGTCTGTTATCTCAGTACGTGGTCCTAGCTGGTGTAGAACTTTGGGGGATCCTGCCGCTCCTCCTGAGGTTTCCCTACAGTCATGAACCACCATGCCTAGCTCAAATCTGCTACTTGTACACGGAGCAGTGGTTTTTAATGTAATCTTGTGTGCAACCATCACCACTACCTAAATCCAGAGCAGTTTTGTCACTGCCAGAGAGAGCAATCTCTAAGCAGGTCTGCACACTATACCCCATACCCGCTTGGAGATCACTAATCTATCCCATGGGTCTGTATGAAGAGGTCTGGTGGCTTTTTCTCAGCAAAGTGTTTTTGAATTTGTCCATCTGTAGTGGGTATCAGACTTCTGCACGGAGCTGGGAAAACGGGTCAGTTGAGAAAGGGCTTGTGGTGCAAGCATGAACCTCATGTTCGGAATCCACAAGCCCACGTAAATAGCTGAGCGTCACTACTATAGCTCCAACCATGGCGTGCTGTGCCAAGACAGAAGGGTGCACCTAGTCTTATCAGTGAGCCTCAGGTTCAGTGAGAGACCTTATCGAAAGAATAAGGTAGAGAGATACAGGAGGTTAGCCAGCGTTGACCTCTGGTCCTCACATGCATGCACCCTGGTGTGTATACACACACACACACACACACACACGCACGCACGCACATGCATGCATGCACACTGCACCCTGTTACATGTATATCACACGCACACACTATACTATACACATATCACACATATACTTCACACACACACACACGCCTGACAGCATGTTTTATTGTTGGTTGTCACAAACTCTACCTTTTGGCAGGTGTACATTCTCATCTGAGTGCTGTCTGAAGTGTTCTTGTGTTGTTCCTAGGAGTCTAACTGCTGGGTTGGTTGCTGTTTTGAGACAGAATTTTGTTCGTTTCTTTGTTTGTTTTGGGGGACACGGTCTCATAGAGTCCAGGCTGACCTTGAACCTACTGTGTAGCCCAGATTGTCCTTAAACTTCTTTTTTGTTGTTTGTTTGTTTGTTTGTTTTGAGACAAGGTTTCTCTGTAGCTTTGGAGCCTCACAGAGTTCTGCCTGCCTTTGCCACCCTGCTGTCCTTGAATTTGTAATCTCCCTGCTCAGCTTCATAAACAGCCTCCTAAATGTTAGAATTACTTGGGTGAGCTGCCAAACATTTCTCCAGATTCCCCTTTGACCTTAAAGATTTGTTTTATTCTAGATCTTGTGTGTGTCTCTGTGTACTTGAGTAGAGGTATCCTCAGAGGTCCCTACCGTTGGAGATAAGGTGGCTGGGAGCCGACTAGGGTCCTGACAGTGTGTGCTAACCACCACCTCTCTTGCCTCCACCCTTCTAGACTGTCTTGCAGGCATCGTGGCGTGTGCTGTGACTCCCAGCACGCAGGCCACAGGGCAGACAGGTTTATGTAAATCTGAGGCTACTCTAATATTCCTACTGAGTTCTAGGCTAGCCAGGGGGCTACATGATGAGAGACTGTCTCAAAAGGGGGAACGAGGAGGAGATGCTGTTCAATTACCAGCCTGACTTTGAACTCACTAAGTAGTTTAGACTGGCCTTGAATGTATTGTTATCTTGCCTCAGCCTCCTTAGGGCTAGGATGGCAGGTATGTGTCACCAGCCACAGCTTATCACTCCTTTAAATATATTTATTTATTCATTTTCTATATGTATTGTGCTTGTGTGAATTTATGTACACAGATATGTGCAGAACACCATGGAAGCCATTCCCTGTCCTCTGACTCCCCCTCTCCCTCCCTGCTCCCCTGAAGTCGGCTGGGTCTGGACTTAATCTGTACCCATCTTTCCTACCTGGCTGCATCTGTGTGTGGTGCAGTTTGCACTGAACCTGTGCCATGGTCTGTCTTCTGCCTGGGCAGGAACCAGGCCGGACAAGGGAATCCTGCATTCACGTGTGGATGCATGGAAGCAGGCCGGGGATGAACTTCATGGCAGAGTGTTCACCTAGCACGCCCACCGCACTGTTCCCATCCACAGGGTCGCAGAAATGATGTGGTGGTGCCCCTCATCAGTCAGGATATAGAGAAGGGTCCTGAGCTGAAAGTGATCCTGTCTAAAGAGTGAGTCCCGGCCAGGCCATGGTGTCACACGCCTTTAACCCAGCATTTGGGAGGTGGAGACAGGCAGATCTTTTGACCCTGGCCTACAGAATGAGTTCCAGCACAGCCAGCGATGCACAGAAACCCTGTTTTGGAAAGCAAAGCCAGCCCCCCCCCCAAAAAAAATGAGTTCCAGGCTAGCCTAGATTACACAAGACCCAGTAAATAAAGTATTAAAGAGAAAGCCAGAGAGCTGAGATATAGCTGGATGGGTTCCCTGGAATTGTAGCACTGGGCAGATGGGAGCAAAAGGATCAGAAGCTGAAGGCCAGCCTTGGCTCTTGAGGCTCTGATTGTAGTGCAACAGTCTAGAAGTACAAAGTTGTCAGTTTGGAATCCTGGGTGGGCAGGGCTGGGCCTCCGTGGACCTCCAGGACTCCCAAAGAACTGTCTGCTGCCTCGTCTCCTTTGATTGGTTCTGTCCCTGACTCCTTAGTTACTGGTGAGGTCCATGAGCACAGGCGTGTTCGTCAGTGTGTTTGCAGGCTCTTCATTACCCACCACAATGCAGGGCACACACAGGTATGCAGAATGCAGGGCAGAACCAGCCAGCACATTTTGTTTGGTCCTGCCAGTTGTTTTGTGGATGATGAGTCCTTGGGACAGTCAGGGAAGTGTTCAAATGCTTTGAGGTCACTCTGCCTGTCTGTGTCCTGTCCTGACCACATGGCAGCAGTAGGAAGTCGGGTGCACTGGGTCCAGGGAGGCCTCTGACTGCCATGTGCTGTCCCCACAGAGACAGCATGGACAGTGTGAAGCAAAGTGCAGCCCTGTGCCTGCTTCGACTCTACAAGGCGTCCCCTGACCTGGTGCCCATGGGCGAGTGGACAGCACGCGTAGTGCACTTGCTCAACGATCAGCACATGGTGAGGTGCCCTGCTGCCCCGAGTGCCTGACCTCTTCCCTGATGCTGGGAGCCCCATGATATTCCAGCCCAGGTCCTGTGTTCCAGTGCCTGCCACCTGCCCAGTTTTCTAGAAACCTTCCTACCTCCCTGACATCTCCTTCGCTGCCAGGAACTGTCCCCAACTCTGACCCAACCCCTAAAAAAATCCTGACTGTTTCTGAGCCTAGAGATCCCTAGCAAGGCCCATTACTTGCCTCTATGAAAGTCCTGACTCTTGGTGCCACCCAAGATTCCCAGTACCCCAACTGTGTTCCTTACTCCTGACTTACCTTGATGCCAGGGCCTTCCCAGTGACTCCCAAACACCAGGTTCTTGAATCTGTTCTGTGAGATCTCTTTCCCCTTCACCTGCAACACAGTCACCCTTGTGTACTTCTTGCCCCACCTGAACGTCCTTGTGTTTGCCGGTCCCCATCCTGGCCCTAAGCCTGGGCCCTCACACTTACCGTCTCTGCAGGGAGTGGTCACAGCCGCTGTCAGCCTCATCACCTGTCTCTGTAAGAAGAATCCAGACGACTTTAAGACCTGTATCTCCCTGGCTGTGTCTCGCTTGAGCCGGGTGAGTATGCTCTCCCACTAGCTGTGGGAGGGACTGGCTCTCCTGTGTCTCTAACACCTCTGTCTCCCCTCCCTTCCCTAAAAGGCAAGCCAGCCTGCACTTACAAGCCAAGCGTCTGCATTGGCTTCAAACAGACTGTAGCTACAGTCAAGTGCTGTCACTTCTCAGCTTTTCTTCCATGCTTCAGAGGCTGACACCAGTGCTGTGTGCAGCTTGGCTGCTGTGGCTAAGGTGTTGAGAGCAGGAGCTGGGACCACCAAGCATCCCAAAGCCGTCTGCTCTTCCCTCCTTGTCTTCCTGTTCTTTCTTTGCTTCTTGCCACCTCACTGTCCTCAAAGCACCCTGGGCCTTCTTAGTGCGTGGCTCTCTGTGTCTGAATCAGACCTGAAGGGGGCCCGTTCTGCTGGGAAGGGAGAACATGACAGGGATGGTGTCTCAGTGACTAGCTGCCAGGAAGGCTGTGCGTCATGGAGGGAGCTCAGCATCATGGGTGTCTAAGGGGGGTCCTAGCCCAGTCTGGGAGCCAGGAGAGCTTCTCAGGTGGCAACTAAATGGAGACCCAGAAAAATCAAAATGTTGTCTGGGAGGTCAGAAGTATTCCAGATCCTTGGACAAGAGGAACACCTGTGCCACCATTCATTTTGTCCCCAGCGCCTCATTTCCCACACACGTGAGTGTGCCGGGTGCCAGACCCGGGGGGGGGACAGAGATGTGCAGAGTGCTGCGGGGAAGACTTCCTAGAGGAAGTCTTTGTTTGATTGTTTTGTCCCATTTACCCCAGACAGGGTTTCTAAAACTTACTCTGTAGACCAGGCTGGCCTCAAACTCACAGAGATCTGTGTGCCTCTGCCTCCCAGGTGTGGGTGCTGGGATTAAAGGTGTGCGCCACCACTGCCCGGCTACTTGGAGAGGGATTTTCAAGGTGGAATAGGAGGTCACCCTGACGGGGGACAGTCATACAATCTTTTAATCCTTCACTGTGTCCCTTTCTGACCTATGTTGGACCAGGGGCCTAGGGAGGATCAGATCCAGCTCCAGACTCTTCAGTAGTTTTCCCAAGGTGCTCAAGATGCAGGAACCAGGGTAGTAGGGGCTGATGGAGGAGGTAGAGCCCAGGAATAAGTCAGAGAGGCTCTGGCCTGCCCTTGGGACTGTCACCACCACCCCCTGTCACCACCGCCCACTGTCACCACCGCCCACTGTCACCACCACCGTCCACTGTCACCACCGCCCACTGTCACCACCGCCCACTGTCGTCACCACCGCCCACTGTCACCACCACCGTCCACTGTCACCACCACTGCCCACTGTCAACACCACCCACTGTCACCACCGTCCACTGTCAACACCACCGTCCACTGTCACCACCGCCCACTGTCACCACTGTCCACTGTCACCACCACCGTCCACTGTCACCAGCATTACTTGGAATGTTCAGAGTCAGGTATTGGAGCACAATGCAAGCACGCAGGAGGGTCTTGCATGAGACCAGCCTGGGCTGTTTAGTGGAACTCTAGTTCAAATACAAAGAAAGGTTCCGCCAACCTTTCTGACCCCCCCCTCAGGCCACACTCCATCCAAGCCTTGGTTTCCCCTTTCTGTAAAACCTGGCTCTCATGGTGCCCTGTGTGAGCATACCCCTCCTTGTCCCACCCGCTACTCCCCCTTCTGCAGATCGTCTCCTCCGCCTCCACCGACCTCCAGGACTACACCTATTACTTCGTTCCTGCGCCCTGGCTCTCTGTGAAGCTGCTGCGGCTGCTGCAGTGCTACCCACCGCCAGGTGAGGCCCATGGGCTGCCAGCGAGGCTATGGGCAGGGGCAACCTGGTGCCCTGTCTGCACATCTCCTGGGTGACACAGTTGGGCCCATTTCCTTCTCATAGCTAGGTGCCATGCGGAGAGGATCACGGCCAGAGCAGGGAGGTCTGACCCAGGGGTGCCCACTAGAATCTCTGTCAACTGTTTGATGCAGCTGCAGTCTGGCTAGTATCCCTCTGCCACAGCAGTGGGGCACTTTGGGGCACTGATCAGTTTTGTTTCTGTTAAACTCATAATCTTAGAGCTGGGCAGTGGTAGCGCAAGCCTTTAATCCCAGCACTCTGAGTTCAAGGCCAGCTTGGTCTACAAAGTGAATTCCTGAACAGCCAGAGCTACAAAGAAACACTGCCCCCCCCCCCAAAAAAAGCCAAACAAACAAAACCCCAAACTGTCATAACCCCTGGAGCCCGGATGGTATGCAGCGGCTCTCTGGGCTGGTAGCTGAGGGTCAGCTTCTTGGGAAAGCTTGATCTCCATGGCAGCTCTGGAAGTCTCCTGAGGTCTCCATACTTGTGTGTGAAACTTAGGAGCATCGGTGCAACTGAAGAGGAAACTGGGGCTCATTCCCAGCAGGGTCAGTGTGGAGTGGGTGGAGCCTAGACCTGGAAATAGATAGAAGGCAAAGGCCCAGCCTGGGACTGCAGAGTTTAAAGGTAGCTGGGCCCCTACCACAGAGGTGAGAGCTGGAACAGGCTGCAGACTTGGGGACCACTGGGCAGAGAGCTCAGCCACTTACCTCCCTTTCCCCAGAGGACGCGGCTGTGAAAGGGCGGCTAGTGGAGTGTCTCGAGACTGTGCTCAACAAAGCCCAGGAGCCCCCCAAGTCCAAGAAGGTGCAGCACTCCAACGCCAAGAACGCCATCCTCTTTGAGACCATTAGCCTCATCATCCACTATGACAGGTGCTGTGGGCGGGTGTGGAGAGGCAGGGCCACCGGTCTGAGGGAAGAGAGAACGGGATGTCTGAGGAAGGAAGGCTGATTTAAAAGTTGAACTTGAGGAAGGAAAATGGGGCCTGAACCCCGCAGTCTAAGGGAGAAGACTGGGGCCTGGGATCCTTGCTCGGAAGGGGACAGAGGTGTGAAATGCTCCTCTGAGGTGATGCAGAGTTGCTGCTTATCTTGTGGGTTCCCTCCTGCACTCTGGGGGGAGCTGACTGTATTCCCCACTGTAGTGCATATGTGCCCGGAAGTCTAGGTTCCTAGGAGGGTCAGAACAGGATGTTGGCGTGAGCAGAAGGGAGGCCCTGGGTCCTCAGGGAGCTCTGAGATGGAGCAGTTCATGTCTCTTCTCCATCTGTACTTGTGCTTGGCAGTGAGCCCAACCTCCTGGTCCGCGCTTGTAACCAGCTGGGCCAGTTCCTACAGCACCGGGAGACGAACCTGCGATACCTGGCCCTGGAGAGCATGTGCACGCTGGCCAGCTCTGAGTTCTCCCACGAGGCTGTCAAGACCCACATTGATACCGTCATTAATGCCCTCAAGGTGCAGCTCTCTGCCCCACTCGGTGGCTAAGTGCTTGGTGGCCCTACAATGGGCCCAGTACAGTTTAGACCCCAGCTTGGTCCTGCTCTTCTTCCTCAGACGGAGCGGGATGTCAGTGTGAGGCAGAGGGCGGCCGACCTCCTATATGCCATGTGTGACCGGAGCAATGCCAAGCAAATTGTGTCAGAGATGCTGCGGTACCTGGAGACTGCTGACTATGCCATTCGAGAGGAGATTGTGAGTCTGGGGGCCAGGGTTGGGCACCTGGATGTGAGGGACAACAGCCAGGACCTGGACTACAGAATCTAAGGGAGGAGGGCTGGGGTCTGACCCCTTAGGTTGGAAGGAGGACCTCTGGGGCTAAGAGAAGACTAAAGTTAGGAATCCTGAGTCTTACGGGATGAGACTAGGGAGGGGCTTTGGCTGTTAGGATGGGGTCAACAGTGGTCAGAACTCCAGGAATGGCAGTAGTCACCCTCCTGTGGGCATCGGCGTCCAGTCATACCTTCCCTCTGCCACAGGTGCTGAAAGTGGCCATCCTGGCCGAGAAGTATGCAGTGGACTACAGCTGGTATGTGGACACAATCCTCAACCTCATCCGCATCGCGGGCGACTATGTGAGCGAGGAAGTGTGGTACCGAGTGCTGCAGATTGTCACCAACCGTGATGATGTCCAGGGTTATGCTGCCAAGACAGTGTTTGAGGTTAGCGTTCTTCACTTTGCCCCCATGATGGAACTCAACTGCCAATCAAAAGCAGCTAGGCATTAATACACCCCACCAGAAGGGACCTGCAGCCTTGGGGCCTTGTCCAGGAGAGCAGGCTCTCACTGTGCAGTGCTCCACAGGGTCAGAGGGTTCAGTCACGGCAGGAAGGCGTGTGTGGCTGCAGATGTGTGGCTAGTGCTGGGTGAGCACCTGCTGTGTAGTCATGAGAGTCTGGCTTAAGCCAGCGCAGCTGTGTGTGGCTGGAACTCCAGCACTGTGGGACAGAGACAGGCAGGTTCTTGGGGTTTGCCGACTAGCTAGTCTAGCCAAAACAGGAACTGTAGGTTCAGTGAGAGGATCCTGTCTCAGGGTGGAGGGTGCCTGAGGAAGATGCCTGACACGGGCATGAACTCCTGTGTACACATGTGCACACACAGAACTTGGGGTGGAAGCTGATCATGGCTGTCCAGGAAGTAATCAAGGATAACATACTTCCTGTTCCCCTCTCTTCTCCAGGTAGGTTCCACCTCCCACAGTTTCTAGGACCTCCCCAAACAGCATCAGCAACTGGGGTTCAAGCACTAAACCACTGAGTTCAGGCTTGTCCCTTATCTGCCCGCAGGACATTGTGGAGGTCACGGGACTCTCCTTGTCCTCACGCTCCTCTCCCTTGTTCCCTCACAGGCCCTCCAGGCCCCAGCCTGCCATGAGAACATGGTGAAGGTTGGTGGCTACATCCTTGGGGAGTTTGGGAACTTGATTGCTGGGGACCCACGCTCCAGGTGAGGGAGCCTCATTCTGGGGGACCGCTGAGGAATGATGAGGTTCCCTGGAACCCTCTCAGCGCATTTCAGTTGCCCACCTGGGTGAGGTCACAGCCTTGCCCTAGGGAGTATGGGTGACGGGGCATCTCTGCTGACTTCACCTCTCCACAGCCCGCCTGTGCAGTTCTCACTGCTGCACTCCAAGTTCCACCTGTGCAGCGTGGCCACTCGTGCCCTGCTGTTGTCCACCTATATCAAGTTCATCAACCTTTTCCCTGAGACCAAGGCCACCATCCAGGGAGTGCTGCGTGCCGGCTCCCAGCTACGCAATGCCGATGTGGAACTCCAGCAGCGGGCAGTGGAGTACCTCACCCTCAGCTCCGTAGCCAGCACCGATGTTCTGGTCAGAGCCCATGCCCCACACCTTCCTTCGGATCACCCTCTTGGGCCGTAAATGCCCCTAACCTCCCATCCTGCCCACAGGCTACTGTGCTAGAAGAAATGCCCCCATTTCCTGAACGTGAGTCATCCATCCTGGCCAAGCTGAAGCGCAAGAAGGGCCCTGGGGCAGCCAGTGCCCTGGATGACAGCCGAAGGGACACCAGCAACAATGACATCAATGGTGGTGTGGAACCCACCCCCAGTACCGTGGTGAGCCCAGTTATGGTCCACATGGCTAGGTTGGGTCCCCTGTCCCTTGTCCCCTCTCATGTCACCTAACCCTCTCTTGCCTTAATTGCAGTCAACACCCTCCCCCTCCGCGGACCTCTTGGGGCTGCGGGCAGCCCCTCCCCCTGCTGCACCTTCAGTTCCTGTAGGTGGGAACCTGCTGGTGGATGTCTTCTCTGATGGCCCCACTGCACAGCCCAGCCTGGGGCCTACCCCCGAGGAGGCCTTCCTCAGGTACCTCCTGTCCTTGTCCTTCCATCTCCCTGCTGTCCCCAGCCTCTGCCTGCCACTCTGGACTCTGCTGCCCTTGCTGCCCTGTGCTGTCCTTTCCCATACTCAGCCCACTCTTCCTTCTGAATCCTCTTGCCTCTCTTTCCCTGGCCCTCTTGCTGCCTCTCTGGGATTGGCTGCCTGCCACACCTGTCTTCTCTGTCTGCTCTGGGATTGGATGGCCCAGCGAGCTGGAGCCCCCTGCCCCTGAGAGCCCCATGGCTTTGTTGGCTGACCCAGCTCCAGCTGCTGAGTAAGGGGTGGCCTCTGGCTATGGGGTTGATGGATGTTCCCAGGGTGGGCTTCAGGGGTCTCTGATGACTGGCAGAGGTTAGAAAACAGTGGAAGTTGGGGTCCTTGGGCGATCCCTCTGCCAGGGTCCCACTCCCATTCCTGAGGGTCTCTGGGGAAGCTTGGCCTGTGGGTTCTGGGGAATCTGCCTTCCAAGAGAGTGTTGCCTAACCCGATTACCTCAAGTCCCCAAGCCCCTGTGCATGTCACTTCTTCCTCTCCCCAGCCCAGGTCCCGAGGACATAGGCCCTCCCATCCCAGAAGCCGACGAACTGCTCAACAAGTGAGTTCTGGAGAGGTGGGAAGGGGAGCGGGGGCAGTGGGGTGCCCAGGAGCCCTGCCATCCTGACTCCCACCACCCTGCCAGGTTCGTGTGTAAGAATAGTGGGGTCTTGTTTGAGAACCAGCTGCTGCAGATTGGAGTCAAGTCCGAGTTCCGGCAGAACCTGGGTGTGTCCTGGTGGCCCGGAGGGGAGGGTACTGGAGGGGTGTGTTTTTGGCAGCACCCCCTGGCTGGGCTGGTGGCAGGGTATGGGAACGGGGGAGCTTGGATGGAGCCTTCACCCACCCGCTGCAGGCCGGATGTACCTGTTCTATGGCAACAAGACTTCTGTGCAGTTCCAGAGCTTCTCGCCCACTGTGGTCCACCCCGGAGACCTGCAGACTCATATCCTCTGCTCTTGGCCTGGAGGGTGCCCACCCCACCCCTGTAGTCCTCTGGGAAGCAACACTCGGCTCCATACCTGTTCAGCCCCTCACTCAGAGTTAGGCACATGTCACTTCTAAGACTGTTTGAACAGTAGGTAGGCCTCTCTACCCAGGGACAAATGACAGTAACCCAATGTACAGAATATATGACTTCCAACACCCCAACTACCCTGCCAGGCACCTTACCTTTGCTGATGTCTGTGTGTGGCTTCATGCTATGGGGCTAGAGGCTCCTGCAGTCAGGTTAACCAAGAATGCTGCACACTCTGCCGGCCCTGCAGCACCTCAGCTGTGTGGCCTGCCTCCTAACTTTCCTCCAGGAAAAGTAACTCTCCTTTCTTCTGCTAGGAGGGCTGTTGGTTGTTTTTGAAGCTGTTTATGTGGCCTAGGGTGGCTCCACTTACTCTACAGATTGAACTGGCTTTGAATTCAAGATGAACCATCTGCCTCTGCCTGCCAAGTGCTGGGATTATAGGTGTGCACCAGCAAACCTGGCTTCCTGCCATTTTGAAAGAGCAGTTGGGATGTTCTGGAAGGTGTATGGCAGATCCAGGCCCCCTCTTTTTTTTATATTGTCCTCAGTCCACATGTGTGAGACCAGAACAGCTAGTTCTTCACCCTCTGCTTTGTTGACCAGAACCCAGGGCAGACAGTTTTATGTCCGAAGTAGGGCAGTGCCAGTAGGGTGTAGGTACCAGCCAACCTTGTACATGTTCCTGACATGAAGTCAGGCCTGAGCACAAAGGTGACACTGATTACTTCCATCTGGCTGTGTGGCCACTGCTACTCAGACAGATATGTTCTAATGGTGGGTGGTTTCTTGGCTCCTCAGGACATTTTACATGTACCCAATTTGCACTTGAGGCTAAGAAAATACTATCTTGCCCACCATGATCCATGTGGTTTGTCACCCATTGGAGATCCCTGGGTGTCCCAGATGTCACAGGAGGAAGTCTGTGAGTCTGCGGTTGACCCTCAGAGCCTCTGACAGACGCTCAGGTTGTGCCACCCCTGTTCCTGGCCTCCTTAACTCCATGGCCACAGCTGGTGGTGCAGACGAAGCGTGTGGCCGCGCAAGTGGACGGTGGTGCCCAGGTGCAGCAGGTGCTCAACATCGAGTGTCTGCGAGACTTTCTGACGCCTCCGCTGCTGTCTGTGCGCTTCCGGTGAGTGGGAAGGAGCAAAGTGGGGGGTGGGGGGGCAATGAGGCTGGTCTTCAGGGATGGGGCCTGGTGAGCTGCTCTCATCTGTTCAGGTACGGTGGCACCGCCCAGTCCCTCACTCTGAAGCTACCAGTGACCATCAACAAATTCTTCCAGCCCACGGAGATGGCTGCCCAAGACTTTTTCCAGCGCTGGAAGCAGCTGAGCCTGTGAGGGGCGGGGTTGAGAGGTGGAGGGAGCTGGGCTGAGGGGCGGGGCAGGGCAGCGTCTCCTGGGCTTGACAGTGCTTTCAACCTGCCAGCCCCCTGCAGGAAGCACAGAAAATATTCAAAGCCAACCACCCCATGGATGCTGAAGTTACTAAGGCCAAGGTGAGAGAGAGGCTGGGCATTTACTGGGTGCTGGCCGCTGGATAGATCAGTTTTCACCCATGAGGGTTTGGCCTGAGGTAGTCTAGAGGCTTCTCAGCTCTGCTTCAATACCCATCCCTTTCTAGCTTCTGGGGTTTGGCTCTGCTCTACTGGACAATGTGGACCCTAACCCTGAGAACTTCGTGGGTGCTGGAATCATCCAGACGAAAGCCCTGCAGGTGGGGTGTCTGCTTCGGCTGGAGCCCAATGCCCAGGCCCAAGTGAGTAATGAGGGAGGACCTCGCTGTGCCCCCACATTCCCTGTTCCCAACCCTCCTTCCTGTGTCTTCCATCTTCACTGACCTGACTTTTCTGACCCCTTCTGGGCTCCCTCATCTCATGGCTGCCATCTCCACACAGATGTACCGCCTGACCCTGCGCACCAGCAAAGAGCCTGTCTCCCGTCACTTGTGTGAGTTGCTGGCCCAGCAGTTCTGAGCCCTGGACTTGCTCTGGGATGTGGCCAGTGCCAGGCAGCCCTGGGATGGAGGCAGCTGTGGTGGAGGGGGCAGCGAGGAGACCTCCGGTGGTGACAGCGAAGACCCCAGGGATGGAGGCCTGCCTGAGCTTCCTCTGGCCTTTTGTATTTTTAGTTTTGTTCATCTGCTGCTGTTTACATTCTGGGGGGGTCAAGGGAAGCACCCTCCCTCCCTTGTCCCCCGGAGCACAGAGGGGAGAGGAGCCAGAGAAGTCGGTACCTCCTCCCCTCCCCCCCATTGTCGCCCGCCCTCCCCTCTCTCCCCATCTGGGGCGTGTATTATTGTGAGTGAATAAACAGAGAGACGCTAATGTTACCCCGTCTATTGACTGCCTGCCCCTGGGTGATCAGAGGAACGGGGTAAGGGCTTGTAGGGTGTGGGTGGCAAGGTTTCGCAGCCCATGGGTGGGGCTCTGAGGAGACAGCATCAACAGGAGCAGCCGCAGCCCTAGCTGCAGAGCCACCAGCTGCCACCCCATGCCTGGCCCTAGCACAAGGTAGCAAGCTCTGGGCCTCTGGGCTGGGTGGGCTGCATCCTCTTCTTTCTCTGCAGGCCCTGGTTCTGGGAAAGGAAGGGTGGCTGGGTGAGCAGCACAGCTACAGGCTTGGAAGCCACATTCAGCCAGGGCCCAGCGCCCCTCACTAGCCCACTCCTTCCCAGGTCCTCCCAGGTCATCCTCTTCCCGCCTAGCCTGGCTGCTTTCCTCCGGTCTGCGTGTGAGCTCAGACAGTTCTAACATTAGTTGACATCAGGTGCTGTCACCCTCCTGGGGATCTCAGCCCATTCTCCTAGTGTGCACACTTGTGAACTCTTTATCTGGCTGGGCACCATCAGCCCCGGCTTCTGTCTCTTGGGGCTTTAGGGACCTGGGACAACTTTCCCAATGTGGAGTCTGCAGGATCCTTACTCCCTTCAGCTTGAGCAGAGTTCTGCCCGGCCCTACGGAGGGTGACAGGAATGACTGATTGAGTGGTGCCACTTGGCCTTGCTTGGCCTTGGGATCAACAGAACTGGTGATGGCCCTGCTGTAGGATGAAGCGCTGCGTCCTCCTTTCTTTGAGGCACTACAACACAGGCCAGCCTCAGACTCATGGCTATCCTGCCTTGGCCCACCTGGAGCTGAAATTTCCATGTGTGGGACAGATGCCCGGTCAGAACCAGGCCTTCATGTAAAAGCTGACTGGAGAAGGGTCCAGAATTCAGTACTAAGACCGTCCAGGGCAATTCAGGCCTATGCTGGGTTCTCTGCTTCAGGGCGTGTACACCATGTGGGATCCATGCCTACCGCTGACCTGGTGGGAAGTGTGTGGTAGCCACCAGAGTGTAGAAGTTTCTAAGGAGGCGCCGGCGCTGCTCAGGGGAAGGCTCTAGAGAAAAATGAGCAGCGTGACTAGATGGCCCCTGGCTCACGGCCCTCTCACCCGCGGCTTCCCTGTGCACCTTTATCTGGTGACGGCTCCACAGTGAAGAGGCAGCGTCTCAGTTCCAAGTGGAGCAACAGCAGGCTGGGGAAAGGCACTATCAGGTCATGGGGAGCTGACAAGGCAAACTGCCCGCCCACTCCACCCTGCACCCCACCACCGAGCCTTACCCGAGGATGTCACTGTGCAGCGGGAACCCTTCGGGTAGCGCCCTAGGGCCAAGTGGCAGGCAGGCCCGGAGGGGCTCCAGCAGTGGCTGCCACCAGCGTTCCAACAGCTGCAGGAGACGTGGTCAGTGTGAGGTAGGGGCTAGGGGTGGGGAGGGAGTCCATACCTAGTGGAGCCTGGTTGGCTAGGGACTGTAGCAGGTGGCATGGCGCTCATGAAGAGCTGTGCTGGGGGCGGCAGCTCAACTGTTCTCACCTGTGGCTCCAGCTGGCCGAGGGGCGGGCGCGGCCCACACAGCAGACACAGCTCCAGTCCCCTCAGCAGCGTTAAGGTCAACAGCCTATGCGGGACCTGCAGCAGGGTGCGGGGTGGGGCTAAACACGGCCCGGCCCCGCCCACTGTAGGCCCCGCCCCAGCCCCGCCCGCCCCCCCTCACTCACCTTGGGGCTCCCATGTGGCAGGTACACCGGGTAGTCGCGAGCGGCCTGAGGTGGCAGGGACCCCACCAGCCAGGGGAGCAGCACGGCTTCAGGCATGCCCAGGCGCCACCAGCTCTCAGTCGCTGCCACCACTCGGCCTGATACCAGCAGACTGACAAAGGCCGTGCCGGTGGCCTCTGCGAACCCTAAGAGGGTTTCCTGGTGAGGGGAGTAGACTAGGAGTCATAAAGCAAGGAGGGGCCTCTCGGCCTGGGCCTGGAGTGGAGGAGCAGCCAGCGGACCAGTGGACTCCAGTATGTTAGGACAGCAAGCTCCTGAGTCACACAACCTCCCTGTCCTCAGTAATGGAAATGTAACTTAAGGCCTTGGGCATGCTAGCTCAGCACTGCGGCCAAGCCACACTGAATTAATCCACTAAGTTGCCCAGGCTGCCCTTAAACTGTGCATCCTCTTTCTCAGCCTCCAGAGTAGCTGGGCTGACGGGCCTGCCTGCACCAGGAGGCCTGTAGAGTCCATCATTTCAACATCTACAATTTGATCCCCATTACCTGCCCAAACAAGGCCTAGGTCATGACCTGTGGAAGCCAGGAGAGGTCAGGCCACCTGCCTGGGGGGGAGACTGGAAACTGCCCAGGTGAACAACCCCTTCGAGGTTGGAACCTGGGAAGTCTGAGGCTGCTTGAAACCCTTGAGGAAGCTAACACTGATGTATGGATGTCACCACAACTTGGTGACCACCGGAGGACATAGGCCTTGGGACACTAGGCAGAGAAGGGAGCTTGTTTAGGGCAAGTAGAAGCTGCAGCAGAGAAGGGGAGTGGTCAGGATGGAGTCTGGTGAAGAAAGTTCTCTTAGGAGTCCCAGGTAAAGCTAGACCCCAGATTGATAAGAGGGTGCTGGGGTGCTGTCCAGAACCACGGAGACACACGTCTGTAGCCGCCCCAGTACCTGCATGAGGGAGCCCTCCGGAGGAATGACACAGTCCACACACTGGGTCAGGTCCCCAGTGAGCTCGGAGTTCCCCAGGAAGCTGTCAATGAGACAGTAGCTGGCCTGGCAGGAGGAAAGGGGAAAAATCTAGGACCCAACTGGGCCAGCCCCAGGGTTGAACACCAAGTTCCCCAGGATGTCCCAGGGCCTACTGGGAATTAGGGTTCCAGACAAACAGGCGTGATTTAGGAATCTGACTGCACTCATGTCCTACAGCCTCACCCTTAATTCTTTCTTCAGTCTCTCTACGTTCCGGATGTTGGTCAGCTCCTCAAGTCCCACAATGAGAACCTAGAAGAGTCACGTGGGACCTTAGTACAGGAAAACGGATTCTCGTCAGAGAGAGGAGGATCAGGCCTGGAACCCTGTGTGTGAAGTAGGGGCTGCTGGTCCCTGGCACCTGGACACCCGGGTGTGAGAAAGAAATGCAGGGGTTTATCCGGAGGGAAAGGGGCCCAGAGTGCAGCTCTCTTGCCTCACCATGGCCCCAAACACCATGTCGAGCGTTCTTTCTAGACTCAACTCGGAGGTGCCCTCCTCAGATGACAGAAGGATGAGGGTGATGCTGTGGGGTGAAAGAGGAGAAGCGAGAATGAGCCCAGGGCAGAGGAGTCTGTCAGCTCTGTCTGCACTGCGGACAGGATTCTGGGATCATCCACGCCAGGGATCCCGCCAAGGGACCTGTCATGGAAGCTCTTCCACACCACAGTTGTGCCTTCCGTTCTTGCCGAATTCAGTTGCACGTCCAGATTCTGCCCGAACATGTGTACTCCATTGAGGGAGCCGATGACAGAGAAGGGAAGCTGAGAAGGAGTGGAAAACACGGTAGTACCGCCGAATCCCTCCCGCCTGAGACCCTGTGTCCCACTCTGCAGCCTCCCCCACAGGCCCCCAAAGTCCTCCTTCGGGAAAACGGGCGAAAGGCCCCCGGCACCTGCTCCCTGCGAGGTGTGCAATCCCAGCTTCCCAGATCCCTTCTAGTTAGGTGCAGGAGTTCAATGCCCCACCTGTTGACGGGAGGGGGCGCCGCCGCTGCTGCTCCTGCAGAACAGGGGGACCCCGCTGGAGGCCGCAAGGCACAGCAGGTGAACCGTGCTTCCCGGCCCCTCATCCCCCATCTGGAAGTCCCCCCCGGGTGACTTCGGTGTGGGTCTGGGAGCCTGCGCTACTCAAAGCCGACCCGCTGGCTGGAGCAGCCAGAGGGCGAAGGGAGATGACCAAATTCCCGCCTTCCTCAACTCAGGCCCACCAACCGGGTTAGAGTCTCTCCCGCGCTAGTCGGAAGTCATCATGACCCTAACAAAGATGGCAACAAGCAGTGCTTGCCAAGCGCTCAAATTGCTCCTGGACAGCATCACATCCTTTGTATAACGAGGATGAAGACGACAGCTTGAAGATGGTGATGGTGCCAACCTTCACGTGTGCTGTAATAATTTACGTGCTATTTTTTTAAACAACAAGCAGGTTGAAGATGGCGACAGTGCTAAGACATTGCCTGGCAACCACAGTCTGCGTGGCTTTTTCATTCCGTAGTACATACCCTGCCCCAATCAAAGATGGCGGTATGTTCAGGCATTGCCTAGCAGCTACCATTCAGAATAATGTGCATCTCCCTCTCCCTTTTTCAGAGTGGTTTGATCCGGGCACTGTTGCCTAGTAACCAACAAACGAACTGGCTGTTTTTGTTATTAAAAAAAAAAAAAAGGCAAAGAAAAGAAAACCTTTCTTTTCCAAAGTCATAAAAACCACATTATTTCTGTAATGAATTCATGCTCATGACGGTGTATCATGTAGAAGAAAGTCGAAATACTGAAAACCTCATTCCATGAAACAGTAGAAGTAAGTACCAAGGAAGGATAAGGACAGATTTTTACAAATATGATTATTGTGCTATAATTTTCATAGTTTTCCTCATCAAAAGGATGACTAGGGCCCTTGGGAGGATCACAGCACTTGCCATGAAGGCCTGCTGAGCCTGCAGTCCTGGGACTCTTCTTGTCAGAACAATACCCACCATGCAAACCTGATCTCCAGACACACACCATAGCACGCTCTGTATAATAGTAAATGCTACTTTTTAGAAAATTAAAAATAGTAGCCAGGCAGTGGTGGTAAACGCTTTTACTCCCAGCACTTGGGAAGCAGGGATAGGTGGATCTCTGTGAGCTTGAGGCCAGTCTGGTCAACAAAGTGAGTTCCAGGACAGCCAGAGCTAAACAAAGAAACCCTGTGGGGGGGGGGAGACATGACACTGAGACAGGGCCTCATGTAGCCCACGCAGACCTGCAATGTTGTGTAGCCAAAACCTGACCTTCGGCTCCTCCTTCCAACATTTCCTTGGCCCTCAGTCTTCCTTTGATAAATACTAGATTACTTCTGGTGTGTTTCAAGTGATACAATAGAATAATAGAATTTTTTTTTTTTTTTTTGAGACAGAATCTCCTCGTGCGACCCAGGCTGGCCTTGGACCAGCAACCCTCTGGTCCCAGCTCCCCAGTGTTATCACAACCCCCGGTTCTGTACATCTTCTAGGTTACCACATTTAGCAGCTTGGTTACTTATATTTGAGAGCAATTGCTCTCATTTATTAAATATACTGCAAAACAATATTTTTCATGATTTATTTACTTATTTTTATTTTATGTGCATTGATATCTTGCCTGCGTGCATGTCTGTGAGAGGGTGTTGGATCCCCCGGAGCTGGAGTGACAGACAGTTGTGAGCCGCTGTGCAGGTGCTGGGAACTGAACCCAGTGCTCCGGATGAATAGCTGGTGCTCCCAACTGCTGTTTCCCAGACGGTTGTCGTTTCTGTTACGCTGGGAGCAAGCTGTCTCACAGGGTGTTTAACTGAGCTCATAGAGGAGAAACGTGTGGTTTTCAGGTCTGCATGGCACAAGAAATCCAATTAGGTCGAATCAAACCAAATCAAAATGCCCATCATTTTATTAAAAATGACGGTCTCGGGTGGCCGAGTGCATGGCGGGGAGACAGGACAGCAGGGAGCCCATGTTTCCAGTCTGGATTTTATTTCCTGTAGTTCATAAGGAATAATTGTAGGCAGAGTTTCTCTCTGTCTCAGTAATTGTACCCAAATAACCATTCAGAGATTTACTATTAATTATAAATGCTTGGCTAATAGCTCAGGCTGGTTACTCTTACATTTAAATTAACCCATCTTTCTTATCTACACTCTGTCATGTGGCCTGGTACCTTTTCTCAGTTCATCTCCTTCTCTCCAAGTCTCCTTGAGATTCTCAGACTCCCCTTCTTCCTCTTTGTGTTCTCTTTATGTCTACAAGTCCCTCCTAACCTCTACCTGTCCAGCTATTGGGCAGCGGCTTCTTTATCAACCCAGTCACAGCGACATATGTTCATACAGTGTAAAGCAATTTTTCACAAATAATTAACAGATGTACTCTGGACATGATGAAAGGAGCAGATACGTACAATGACTGTTTTGTTTTCAGAGAGGTAACAGCCCTGGCTGTCTTGGAGCTTGCCTTACAGTCCAGGTAGGCTTAGCACTCTGCTCACTTTTTTTTAAGTGGGACTGGAGAGATGGCTCAGTTATTAATAGTATTTTCTGCTCTTTTCAAGGAACCAGGTTCAATTTTCAGCACCCACATGATGGGTCACAATCTCCTTTAGCTTCGGTTCTGACCTTTGATGCCCTTGGGTACTGCAAGCATATGGTACATATGATATGTGTGCAGAGAGACACTCATACACATAAAACAAAAATAAATCTTAAAACACAAATACAAGGACCTCCCAGGAACTAAGCTGGAGCCAGGACCTCTATCAGCCTGGGCATGAGTGAACCTGGGTCCTCCGAGGGAATAGTTAGGAATCAGAGATCTCAGTGGGGTCAGGCATGAGTCTGGGACCTCAGAGAGAGCAAACCTGAGTCAGGTCCTCTGTGGGTTCAGGCATTGGTTTGGGACATCAAAGGGAATAGCCAGGAGCAAACCCAGTCCCGGGACACGAGCAGATCAGGATTGAACCAGTGACCAGATTCAGAGTCAGTGATCGGCACCAGAACAGGTCCAACTCCAAGCCAGGGACTTCTACAAGAGGCGATCCAGACCAAGATTTACAAAAACAGATCAAAGCCAGCAGCCTAGGCCAAAGTAGGCCTGAGACAGCAAACTCCAAGGGAGCAGAGCAAAGCACAGGAGCACTGAGCTATCTCCAGGAACAGGAGTAACCAACGGGGTAACTAGAACTGTGACACCGACTGTACCACGAGGAACAACCATCTGAGCTTTGGATTTACTGACACCTAGAAGATTATTCAACAGAACCTCAGACAGCCCCAACCACACCTATAGAGGAAAAAATGAGTAGACAAGGTAAGATCACATGATATACCACAAAGAGCAACACATTACCAGTAAAACATAAAGACCTACAAAAGTAAGACCTGAACAACCAAATATGGATGAACCAGAAGAAAATGATCTAAAAAATAATCTCGAGAGAATGTTTGAAATTCTTCAAGATAAAATGAGAAATTACCTTAAAGAAATGGAGGAAAAAAACAAACAAAAAATTAGAAGATATCAGCAAATCACTTAAAGAAAACCAAGAAAAAGAAATCAAACATAAAACAGAAACTATTCAGGACTTGAAACCTGAGTTAGAAAAAAATAGAGAAAACACAAGACGAAGGAATTATAGAAACAGAAATCATGAGGAAAAGAGCAGGAACCACAACTGCAAGTACAAACAACAGAATACAAGAGATGGAAGAGGGAATCTCAAGTGCTGAAGATACAATAGAGGAAATAGACTCATCAGTTAAAGAAAACATTAAGTCTAACAAAAGCTTAACCCAAAATATCTATGAACTATGGGGCATCATAAAAAGGCCAAATCTTAGAATAATAGGTATAGAAGAAGGAGAAGAAGTTCAACTCAAAGGCACAGAAAATTTATTTAACAAAATCATAGAAGAAAACTTTCCCTACCTAAAGAAAGATATGCCTATGAAGATACAAGAAGCTTACAGAACACCAAATAGACTGGATCAAAAAAAAAAAGTCTTCTCGCCACATAATAATCAAAACACTAAACATACAGAGTAAAGAATATTAAGGGGGCTAGAGAGATGGCTCAGTGGTTAAGAGCATTGCCTGATCTTCCAAAGGTCCTAAGTTCAATTCCCGGCAACTACATGGTGGCTCACAACCATCTGTAATGAGGTCTGGTGCCCTCATCTGACCTGCAGACATACACACAGACAGAATACTGTATACATAATAAATAAATAAATAAATAAATATTTAAAAAAAGAAAGAAAGAATATTAAAAGCTGCAAAGGAAAAAGGTCAAGTAACATATAAAGGTAGACCTATCAGAATTCTGATTCCTATCAGAATTACACCTGACTTCTCAGTGGAGACAATGAAAGACAGAAGGTCATGGTCAAGCATTATGCAGACATTAAGAGACCACGGATGCCAGCCAGACTACTATACCCAGCAAAACTGTCGATCACCATAGAAGGACAAAACAAGATATTCCATGACAAATCAAGATTTAACCAATACCTAGCCACAAACCCAGCCCTACACAAAATACTAGAAGGAAAACTCCAACCCAAGGAAGATGGCTACATCAACAAAAACACAGACAATTGATGATCTCATAATAGCAAACCCTGAAGAAGAAAAAATCCACAAATTAACATCACCAATGATGAAAACTAAATTAACAGGAGATAGTAACCACTGGTCATTAATATCCCTTAATGTAAATGGACTCAACTCACCCATAAAAAGGTGCAGGCTAACAGATTGGATACGAAAACAGAATCCATCCCTCTTCTGCATACAAAAAATGCATCTCAACCTCAAAGACAGACATCGTCTCAGAGTAAAAGGTTGGGAAAAAATATACCAATCAAATGGACCTAAGAAACAAGCAGGCGTAGCTATCCTGATATCTAACAAAATAGATAACATAATCCAATAAAAAAAAATGGAGTACAGACATAAACAGAGAACTCTCAACAGAGAAATCTAAAATGGCTGAAAGACACTTAAGGAAATGTTCAACATCCTTAGTCATCAGAGAAATGCAAATCAAAACAACTCTGAGATTCCATCTTACACCTGTAAGAATGACCAAGATCACAAACACTGATAACAACTTATGCTGGGGAGGTTGTGGGGGAAAAAAGGGAACACTTCTGCATTGCTGGTGGGAATGTAAGCTGGTATAACCCCTTTGGATGTCAGTGTGGCAATTCCTCAGAAAATTAGGAAACAACCTTCCTCAAGACCCAGTAATACCACTTTTGGGTATATATCCAAAGGATGCTCAATCGTGCCACAAGGACATGTGCTCAACTATGTTCATAGCAGCTTTTTTTTTTAAGTTTTATTTATTTATTATGTAT